GGGTGGTCCTGCTCGGGGTGTTGCTTCTGGGGGTGCTGAGCCTGGGTGTGAGGAGCCTGGGGGTGCTGAGCTTGGGGGTGCGGAGCCTGGAGGTACTGAGCCTGCGCGTGAGGAGCCTGGGGGTGCTGAGCCTGAGGGTGTGGAGCCTGGGGGTGCTGAGCCTGGGAGTACTGAGCCTGGGGGTGCTGAGCCTTGGAGTACTGGGTCTGGTGGTGCTGTGCCTGGGGGCACTGTGGCGCCTGGTGAGCAGTCTCCTTGGAGCGGCCGCCTCCGTAGTCGCTCCGCTGGTGCCTCGCCGCAGCACTCTCGTCGGCGTGTCCCTCTCTCCACACAGCAGCTGCGTGAGTGGTACGTTAGCCGTCAGGGTCGCGCTGCTGGAGCTGGGGGCCCTGCTACGGGAGGCGCTGGGGTTGGAGGCACTGGAGCTGGCACTGTCCCTCTCTCTACACAGCAGCTGCGTGAGTGGTACGTTAGCCGTCAGGGTCGCGCTGCTGGAGCTGGGGGCCCTGCTGCGGGAGGAGCTGGAGCTGGTGACTCTGCTACTGGAGGTGTTTCTACTGGAGTTCCTGGAGCCGCTGGTCCCGGAGGTGCTCGTACTGAAGGTACTGGAGCTGCTGAGGCTGGAGGTACTGCTGGACCTGGAGGTGCTGCTGTCGACTCTGAGGTTGGAGGCCCTGGAGCTGGAGGTGCAGGTTCTGGGGGTGCTGCTGTTGGAGACCCTGAGGCTGGAGACCTTGCGACTGGAGGTGCCGGTTCTGGTGGTGCTGGTACTGGAGGTGCTGTTGCTGGAGGTTCTGGAGCTGTTGGAGGTGCTGGCGCTGGTGGCGCTGGCGCGGGAGGTTCTGGAGCTGCTGGAGGTGCTAGTACTGGAGGTACTGGCGCTGGAGGTTCTGGAGCTGCAGGAGATGCTGGAGCTACTGGTGCTGGTGGCACTGCACAGCCGCGACTGTTCTTCGCTCCGCCGTCGCCTTCGTCTCTGCCACCGCCTGACTCCGTGCTTCGCCAGGTTCTTAGCCTCCCGTCTTCTACTGGTCTTCCGTTACAGCCTGGCTCACCGTTGCATGCTCCTCCTCCTTACACTGAGCAGACAGGAGGTCTTGCTGAGCGTCGTGAGCCTGCGTCTCGTCCTGTCTCGCCTGTACGCACTGTCCGCACTGGTCGTACTGGTCGTCGTGTTCCTCGTGAGCGTCCGCCGGCTGTCCCCGGCACACACCTCATGGCCCTGCGTCCTTCCTCTGCTCCGCAGCGTGTTCCCCTGCCGTCCCCTCCTGCGTCTTCTCTGCCTGATGTTCCAGAGCATGAGTCTGACCGCGCTCGTGCTGCTCACCCTACTGTCACGCGTCTGCTAGCCACTGTTGTCACTGACCCGTCGTTTGAGTCTGCTGCTGCGTCTGCCTTAGTCGCTGAGCTTGTTGACTTTGCTGCTGCCTGTCGTCTAGACTACGCCGCTAGTCTTGTTGCTGAGTCTGAGTCTGTCTGTCCTCCGTCCGCCGGGGGTGAGTGTGCTCTTAGCACGAACGTCCTTGAGGACAGGCAGGAGGACCTTGAGTGTCTTGCAGCCGCTGCGCCTCATCTCATGGCCATGCTGCTTGCCCCTGAGGGAGACCCGGATGCTCCAGACATCCCGACCCCGCGCTCTTACGCTGAGGCGATCGCGGGTGAGTACTCCTCCCAGTGGCAGACAGCCATGGACGCAGAGATGGCATCCTGGAAGTCCACAGGCACTTACGTTGACGAGGTTCCCCCTCCTGGGGCGAACATCGTCAGTGGCATGTGGATTTTCAGGGTGAAGCGGCCGCCGGATTCTCCGCCTGTCTTCAAGGCTCGTTACGTTGCTCGAGGCTTCAGTCAGCGGGAGGGAGTTGACTTCTTCCAGACCTTCTCCCCCACCCCGAAGATGACCACTCTTCGGGTGCTGCTGCACGTTGCCGCTCAGCGTGACTACGAGCTTCACTCTCTTGACTTCAGCACAGCTTTCTTACAGGGCAGCCTGCACGAGGAGATCTGGCTGCGCCGCCCACCTGGCTTCACTGGGTCGTTCCCTCCTGGTACCCAGTGGAGCCTCCGGCGGCCATTCTACGGTCTCCGCCAGGCGCCGCGTGAGTGGCACGACACACTGAGGACGACACTTGCGGCTCTTGGGTTTGCTCCTTCTACTGCTGACCCGTCGCTGTTTCTGCGCACCGACACTTCACTGCCGTCGTTCTATATCCTCGTGTACGTCGACGACTTGGTCTTTGCCACTGCTGACACTGAGGCTCTCGCCCTGGTGAAGTCGGAGCTGCAGAAGAGACACACGTGCACAGACCTGGGTGAGCTGCGCAGCTACCTTGGCACGCAGATCACCCGGGACAGAGCACGCCGCACCATCACACTGACTCAGTCACACATGGTGCAGCAGGTCCTTCAGCGCTTCGGCTTCACCTGGTCCTCGGCACAGGCCACTCCTCTGGCTACAGGTCACTCGCTCTCAGCTCCACCTTCGGACGAGTCCGTAGAGCCGAGTGGTCCTTACCCAGAGCTAGTGGGCTGCCTCATGTACCTGATGACCTGCACTCGTCCTGACCTTGCGTACCCTCTTGGCCTTCTGGCTCGCTACGTGGCTCCTGGTAGGCACCGAAAGGTGCACATGGATGCTGCTAAGAGGGTACTGCGCTACTTGTGCAGTACGCGTCGTCAAGCCTTCGTTGGGAACGCCCGCTAAGCTGCAGATACAGCAGCTGCCAGCCAATCAGCCGTCCCGTGTGATTCTACCGAGCGCTGCGGATCTCCTAGGAGATTCCCCCGATAGTATTAGCTTCGCTATTGGAACAGCCGGGAGAGGGGGTCCGAGCGGGAGATTGCTAGGACCAGCAGAAATTGCATTCGAAGGTTCCAGAAAACGAGCTGAGCCCAACCCTAACATGCTCTTGCCCAAGCCTCCGTCAAAGGCTCTGAAGGGGGGTTTGGGAGCAGGTTTGGCAGCTGCAGGAAGTGGTTCTGTAAGAGGAGGTATATGCAGAGCAGAAGCAGGAGGAAGAGGAAAGGGGTCAGGCGCAGCAGCAGGTGCTGCGAATTCGTTTTTGCCACCCCAACTCCGAGGCCGGTTAGTTCCTCTCAGTGGAATTACCGCTCCTCCACTTGTGTTTCTTTCCTACTCGTTCCTGGCTTGATCAAACTTGCACTAATTTCTTATCCTGTGGCTTCGGCCTTTCCGTGACACATGTCCGCACTTTTTTCCCTCAGACTTTTATAAACATCGTGCTGTGTATCGCAAGCCTCCCCTCCCATGCATCACACTCTGTCCTGCCCAATGCATCACACTCCTCCCCTTCCCAATGCATCACACTCCTCCCCTTCCCAATGCATCACACTCCTCCCCTCCCATCCATCACACTCCTCCCTCCCATGCATCACACTCCTCCCCTCCTTTCTCACGTCCTCTAATGCCCTCGTCTCCCCCTACCATAACTCCCCTGTGCGTCCGTCAGCTCCAATGTAGCGACTGAGGATCTAGATCGCATATTTTCCAGAAAGGGGAAACAGAAACCTTAGCTGTTACACAAAAGGAGAGGCTTCATATTCAGCTGGCCCTCACCACGTTGATTGAGCTTTGTACCTGTGGGATGGCAAATCTGTACACAAAGATTGTGTTTTGAGTCGAGAGGGTTGTATGCAAGCAAAATTCAAAAGCAGAACTTTTAAAGCTCGCGTCTCATATTTCTACTATCCAACCAAGTGTTAAACGGTTGGAATTTGGTAACAGCAAAGTTTGTCGCAAAGCACACCAAAGCAAGGGGTGGTTTGGGAAAGTTGGCTGTCGCACACTTCCCGTGCACACCAAGCGTTTACAACTTCCAAAAATATGACTCTGAAACTCAACATTGACAGAAGGGGGGACCGAATCTGTCCCCCTTGGCTCGTTTTCCACCCAAACCAACCCACCCTGGTTTGTTTTGGCCTCGACTGTTTTGGTAGTTCGCTGTGATTTTTTCACCCACTCGTCAAATATTTCGTTTTCGTTACCCAATCACAGTCGGGCAAACCCAACCAAGTGTTAAACGGTTGGAAATATGAGACGCGAGCTTTAATGGTTAGGCACTGGGTGTCTGGCTAGTGTTGGGTTCAACAACCTTGACAATGTTTGCATGAGGTGGAATTAATGCCGTAATTGTAATTTGAAACACCAGGAACCGCGTAACACTCATCACGCTTCGCAGATTCGCCACCCACAACGCCACAAGCAAAAAGGTTCGCTTCACACAAACCCCTCATGACCGTGCGGTTTTCATCCTGTGAGAGATTTGCTCCTTGGTTTTCGCAACTTGATCTCTCCAGTCAGCTCCTAGACTCGAGAACACACATCGCGGACAGCTGTCAGAATCGTCAAGTTTATTTTTCGCGCTTTTCACGACCGGCGGAAATCAGACGACATGTACTCCCAACAAGGGTAAGAGATTGCCGTCCTTCTTCTACATATTAATGCTGCTTGTTGATCCGCAGTCTTTTTTCTTTCTTTTTTCCTGCCAATGCATGCCCGACCGCTTTATGGCATTCAATAAGGCTCCGGGATTTCCGAAATATTTCCCTGTCGGACTCGGTTCTTTTGGGGGCCGGGTTGGGGGTTAAGGTGGATGGATGGGTGGACCAAGGGAAACAAGGGCAACGGGGAAATGGAGGGGAAGGGAAGCGGGAAACGAAAGATCTGGGGAACGAGGAAGGGGAAGGGAAGGGACATGGGAAGGTGTCCCTTTTTAGGTCATATCCGCGTCTCGGTCGGAGCGTTTGTCAAGGACTTGCAGATCGCTACGTTATTTTATTGATACCTACCCAATTTTAATCGGATATCGCAACTCTTTCGCATATCACCCACCTCGCTGTCCCTCTGCATTTCACTTTCCGTTCATCTGTCATCACGTTGGGTGTTTAGATCGCTGCGATCAAGGCTATTTTTGTCTCATCTAGACTCGCTTTGGGTGAACTGACCATGGGGTTTGGGTTGGGCAAGCAGGTTCGGCAATATGCCAGGAGGTGTGGGTGGTGGTGCGGGAGGCATGACCGGCTACGGGGGAGGTTTGGGTGGTGCCGCGGCTCCGGGAAGTGGTGGTGGTGGTTCGGGCGGTTTCGGTCCGGGTGGTGCTGGTGCGGGTGCTCCTGGGGGCGGTGCGGCTGGTGCGGGTGGCCCTCCGGGCGTGGGTTCGATTCCTGCTGGCGGCGCCGGCGCGGGCTCGGGTTTCCCTGCGGGCGCAGCACCCCCGGGCGCGCAGGGGATGGGCGGAATGGGCGCAGCGGACGCGGCTGCGCTCGCCAACATGAATCTCATGATGATGGCGGGGATGGGGGGCATGGGCGGGATGGGCGCAATGGGCGCAATGGGCGGGATGGGGAGGATGCAAGGAATGGCGGGGATGGGGGGCATGCCGGGAATGGGGGGGATGGCGGGGATGGGGGGAATGGGCGGGATGGGGGGCCCAGGGGGGGCGATGATGGGCGCGGGCGGGATGGGGATGATGGGCGGGGGTCCGGGGGCGGGTATGGGGGGGGGCGCGGGGATGATGGGCGGGCGCGCAGGTGTGCGGCAGATCCCGGTGGTGAAGCTGCGCGGGCTGCCGTTCCGCGTGGAGGAGGGGGACGTGGCGGACTTCTTCGCGGGGCTCGAAATCGTGGACATTTTGTTCGTTCGCAAGGAGCATCGCCTCGTGGGGGAGGCGTTTGTGCTCTTCGCCTCCACTCTCCACTCCGAGCTCGCATTACAGGTGGGTGGGCGCGGGGTGGGCGCGGGGTGGGCGCGGGGTGGGCGCGGGGTGGGCGCGGGGTGGGCGCGGGGTGGGCGTGAGGTGGGCACAGATGGGAACGTGGCGGACTTCTTAGCGGGCAGGTGGACCCGGGGGGGAGGGGGGAGGGGGGGAAAGGGAACAAGTGGGGGGAAGAGGGGGGAAGTGATCGCTCTGGCTCCAGAGCGCGTGGACGTGCCCTTTGCCCCACGCTGCATGCGGAGCATCGCTGCATGCGGAGCATGCGCTGCATGCGGAGCATCGCTGCATGCAGAGCATCGCTGCATGCGGAGCATCGCTGCATGCGGAGCATCGCTGCATGCGGAGCATGCGCTGCATGCGGAGCATCGCTGCATGCGGAGCATCGCTGCATGCGGAGCATCGCTGCATGCGGAGCATCGCTGCATGCGGAGCATCGCTGCATGCGGAGCATCGCTGCATGCGGAGCATCGCTGCATGCGGAGCATGCGCTGCATGCGGAGCATCGCTGCATGCGGAGCATCGCTGCATGCGGAGCATGCGCTGCATGCGGAGCATCGCTGCATGCGGAGCATCGCTGCATGCGGAGCATCGCTGCATGCGGAGCATCGCTGCATGCGGAGCATCGCTGCATGCGGAGCATCGCTGCATGCGGAGCATCGCTGCATGCGGAGCATCGCTGCATGCGGAGCATCGCTGCATGCGGAGCATCGCTGCATGCGGAGCAGCGCTGCATGCGGAGCAGCGCTGCATGCGGAGCATGCGCTGCATGCGGAGCATCGCTGCATGCGGAGCATCGCTGCATGCGGAGCATCGCTGCATGCGGAGCATCGCTGCATGCGGAGCATCGCTGCATGCGGAGCATCGCTGCATGCGGAGCATCGCTGCATGCGGAGCATCGCTGCATGCGGAGCATCGTTGCATGCGGAGCATGCGCTGCATGCGGAGCATCGCTGCATGCGGAGCATCGCTGCATGCGGAGCATCGCTGCATGCGGAGCATCGCTGCATGCGGAGCATCGCTGCATGCGGAGCATCGCTGCATGCGGAGCATCGCTGCATGCGGAGCATCGCTGCATGCGGAGCAGCGCTGCATGCGGAGCATGCGCTGCATGCGGAGCATCGCTGCATGCGGAGCATCGCTGCATGCGGAGCATCGCTGCATGCGGAGCATCGCTGCATGCGGAGCATCGCTGCATGCGGAGCATCGCTGGATGCGGAGCATCGCTGCATGCGGAGCATCGCTGCATGCGGAGCATCGCTGCATGCGGAGCATCGCTGCATGCGGAGCATCGCTGCATGCGGAGCATCGCTGCATGCGGAGCATCGCTGCATGCGGAGCATCGCTGCATGCGGAGCATCGCTGCATGCGGAGCATCGCTGCATGCGGAGCATCGCTGCATGCGGAGCATCGCTGCATGCGGAGCATCGCTGCATGCGGAGCATCGCTGCATGCGGAGCATCGCTGCATGCGGAGCATGCGCTGCATGCGGAGCAGCGCTGCATGCGGAGCATCGCTGCATGCGGAGCATCGCTGCATGCGGAGCATCGCTGCATGCGGAGCATCGCTGCATGCGGAGCATCGCTGCATGCGGAGCATCGCTGCATGCGGAGCATCGCTGCATGCGGAGCATCGCTGCATGCGGAGCATCGCTGCATGCGGAGCATCGCTGCATGCGGAGCATGCGCTGCATGCGGAGCAGCGCTGCATGCGGAGCATCGCTGCATGCGGAGCATCGCTGCATGCGGAGCATCGCTGCATGCGGAGCATGCGCTGCATGCGGAGCATCGCTGCATGCGGAGCATCGCTGCATGCGGAGCATCGCTGCATGCGGAGCATCGCTGCATGCGGAGCAAGCGCTGCATGCGGAGCAAGCGCTGCATGCGGAGCATCGCTGCATGCGGAGCATCGCTGCATGCGGAGCATCGCTGCATGCGGAGCATCGCTGCATGCGGAGCATCGCTGCATGCGGAGCATCGCTGCATGCGGAGCATGCGCTGCATGCGGAGCAGCGCTGCATGCGGAGCATCGCTGCATGCGGAGCATCGCTGCATGCGGAGCATCGCTGCATGCGGAGCATCGCTGCATGCGGAGCATCGCTGCATGCGGAGCATCGCTGCATGCGGAGCATCGCTGCATGCGGAGCATGCGCTGCAGGTGTGTGGGTTGGCGCGGGGTTGGAGGGGGGGAGGGTGGGGTGTGTGTGACCGCTGTAGTGGCTCGGGATTGGGAGGTCGTGGATGTGCCCCTTTTGTGCAAGGATCATCCCCTCCCCTCCTTCCCCATTCCGCCCCCCTTCCTCTCCCTTCCCCTACCTCCTCCGGGCAGCGCAACAAGAACTCAAACCTCCCGTCCATTTGCCCCTTCCGCCCATGCCCTCTGCCCGTGCCCTCCGCCCTTGTTAACTCCCGCCCCCCCTTGGCATGCAGCGCAACAAGATGCACATGGGGCGGCGATACATAGAGGTGTTCCGCGCCAAGAAGGCGGAGTACTATAATGTGATCGCCAATGAGGACCCAATCCCCCTTCCCCCCTTGTGTCCCCCCTGTTCCCTCCGGCCGCCCTCCCGCTTCCACTCCCCCCCCCCCCCGCTCCCCCCATTCTCCAGCGCAACAAGATGCACATGGGGAGGCGGTACATCGAGGTGTTCCGGGCCAAGAAGGCGGAGTACTATAACGCCATTGCCAATGAGGTGGCACAGGATGGGGGGACCTACCATGGCGGAGGGCAAGGTGGGTGTCAGGGTGATGTGGGTTAGGAGTGTGGGCGAGGTCAAGGTGTGTGGCTTGGGCATAGGGGCAGCGAGTTGCAGCAAGGGGCGCCAAGAAGGCGGAGTATTATAACGCCATAGCCAACGAGGTGGCGCAGGATGGGGGCACCTACCACGGCGGGGGGCAAGGTAGGTGGCGTGGGGGAGGGCAAGGTGGGTGGCCTGGGGAAATGGGATAGACGGTGCAGCAAGGGGTGCCAAGAAGGCGGAGTACTACAATGTGATCGCCAATGAGGTGGCGCAGGATGGGGGAACGTACCACGGCGGAGGGCAAGGTGGGTCACGGGGAGGGCAAGGTTGGTCATGGGGGACGGTGGGTCATGGGGAGGGCAAGGTGGGTGGCGACGCAGCAAGTTGACCAGCATGGCGGGTCACGGGCGAAGGAATACCTAGCAAGGACGAGGCGATTGTTCTGGTTTTCTTCATTCACTCACTCCCGTTTATGTTGCTGGTTTTGCCTTGAAGTTTGAGTGCTACAACGCCACAGCCAACCTTCTGCTTCCCTTGCCCCCACCCCCCCTTCCCTTCCCCCTCCTCTCCCCACCCCTCTTTGCCCTCCCCTCTCCCCCATCCACGTTTGTCGCTTCTTCTGCAGAAGATAAAGGGGGGCGCGGGGAGCGGGGGTACGGGGGCGAGGGCATGGGCGGGCATGCACATGCGGCGTATGGGGGAGGCGGAGGAGGGGGGGGAGGGCGCGGAGGCGAAGGGGGGATAGGCCCAGCGGCGCGGGAGTCGAATATTGTGAAGATGAGGGGCCTACCGTTCTCAGCCACTAGTAAGGTGAGACGACATGGGCATGGGCGGGTATGCCATGCGCATGTGGGGGGGTGAAAGGCAAGGACGCGAGGGGGGGATAGGACCTGCAGCGCGGGAGTCGAATATTGTGAAGATGAGGTGTCTGCCGTTCTCTGCCACTACTAAGGTGAGACCACGTGGCTTTTGGTGAAGTGGCACGCAGTGGGGCGCGGTGGGGTGCGGTGGGGTGCAGTGGGGCGCAGTGGGGCGCAGTGGAGTGCAGTGGGGTGCAGTGAGTGGGGTGCAGTGATTACCATTTCCATTTCCTCACCTTCCTTCCACGCTTCATGCCCCATGCGCCGTGCCCCATGCCCCATGCTCCATGCCCAATGCCCCATGCGCTGTGCCCCGTACCCCATGCCCATGCCCATCCTCCGTGCCCCATGCCACGTCCCCTGTGTATGCTCCATGCCCATGCCCCAGCCCCATGGTCCATGCCTCCTGGAGCTCTTCAAAGAGTACCCCTGGCAGACACAGCAGTGCACAGCATCACCAACTCCATCCTTCCTTCCCATGCCCCATGCCCTGTGCCCCGTGCCCTATGCCCCATGCTACATGCCCTATCCTCCCCTCTACCCCATCAGGACATTCTCGAGTTCTTCGGGGAGTACCCTCTGGCAGACGCAGCAGTGCACATCATCACCAACTCGCTCCTCTTTCCTTGCTCCTCGTCCCTTCTGGCCCCCCTTCAACCCTACGCAACCCCCATCAGGACATATTGGAGTTCTTTGGCGAGTACCCCTTGGCAGACGCAGCAGTGCACATCATCACCAACAGCATCGGCCGCCTCACAGGGGAGGCCTTTGTGGAGTTTGGCTCCACAGACGAGGCGAGAGCAGCCATGGGCAAGGACCGCGAGCGCATGGGCACGAGATACATCGAGCTCTATTTGTCGTCCAGGGATGAAGCCACCAGGATTGCCACACGCGCGAGCACCCAGAGATGAGGGGGAGGGGTGTGGGTGGGTAGATGGAGGGTTGGTTGGGCGGCCCACACTGGCCAGGGCCGGAAGGGGTAGGATCTCACAGGGGAGGCGTTTGTGGAGTTTGGCTCTGTGGACGAGGCGAGAGCAGCGCTGGGGAAGGACCAGGAGCGCATGGGCACGAGATACATTGAGCTGTATTTGTCGTCGCGGGATGAGGCGACAAGGATAGCCACGCGGGCGAGCACTCAGAGATGAGGGGGGAAGGAGGGAGGGGGGGAAGGGTAGTGGGAGAAGGGGGGTGTTGCGAGGTACGGGCAGCTCTGAGCAAGGACCGCGAGTGCATGGGCACAAGATTCATAGAGCTTTATGTGTCGTCAAGGAATGAAGCGACATGGATTGCCACTAGGGTCAGTGTTAGGGATGAAGAGACAAGGACAGTTACCGTACTAGGGATGATGCATGCTAGTAGGGCTAGTACTAGGGTAGGGATGATGCTGCAATAGGGATGAAGTGAGAAGCATTACCACTAGGGACAGCACCCAGACACGAGGGGCAAGGAGTTGGCTGTGGGGAGGGGAATTTTTCCCCGCTGTTAGTGTGTCCTTGCCACCATTCTCTGCTGTTACCAGTATACCTGCCACCATTCCCTGCTGTTGGTGTGTGGCCTGTCACCATTTCTTGCTGCTAGTGTATGGCCTGCCACTATTTCCTGCTGTTAGTGTGTCCTTCTCAAAGTAGGAATGCAACGGAATGTGTGAACTAGGGAAACAAGGGATACAAATAGCAACCCTAAAAGTGTTGTACTCCCTAGAGTGCTATTCACTGTAGCCAAACAACTTATAATAACATTTGACACACCCCCATAGGCTAAGTGAGGGGCATCAAAGCAAGCAGGGTGAACAAACGGTCACAAGACCAGTCAACGCAAAAAACAAAGCAAGCTCAGGGTGGATCTCAAGGACACCACACAAATTCCGAGCACAAGTAAGCGGCCACAAGGCCAGTTCAAGAGTTCACTAGGATATATATAGCAAAGCACAACAAGCAGAGCAAACAGCAAGTCTACAGCAACCGAGGGCCTACCTCAACAAGCCCCAACTGCACACAGAACATGTGGTGGTCACCAAGCGCCAGGGCCTTGGTGAAAACGTCTGCAGTGTTGGCCTCTGAGGCCACAAAGTCCAGGCGTGCCTGGCCGCGTCGCTGCAGGTCTCGCAGGAGGAAGTACCTCATGTCAATATGCTTCACTCTGCTCTCCAGTCGACGCTCTCGACAGAGGAGGATCATGGCCTTGTTGTCAGCGTACAAGGTCGGTGCAGAGCGAGGCCGCTCACCAAGGTCGGCGAGCAAGAAGGTCAACCAGCGAAGCTCCTGTGCCGCCATAGCACCAGCGTAGATCTCTGCCTCTGCACTGGAAGTAGCCACAGACGACGACCGTGTAGACCTCCACGACACAGCACCAGCTACCAGACTGAAGCAGTAACCCTGAGTCGAGCGCTGAGTCTCCACGTCGTCAGCGTAGGAAGAGTCGCAGTGACCAGTCAACGCCACTGGCTGAGTCCCTCCAAGCACAAGCCCCATGCCTGATGTAGTCGCCAGGTACTTCGCCACCCTCACAGCAGCTGTCCAGTGGACAGGACAGTGTCTCCCAGTCGCAACAAAGCGCGAAAGGATGCTGAGGGGAAAAGCGAGGTCCGGCCTAGTACAAGTCATCAGGTACATGAGGCAGCCCACCAGCTCTGCGTAGGGACCACTGGACTCAAAAGGCTCGTCCGGAAAGGGACCAGTGAGTCTGTGGTCAACAGCAAGAGGTGTGGGCTGTGTGGTGGAGAACTGGAAGTCGAACCGCCGAAGGACCTGCTGCACCATGTGTGACTGAGTCAGTGTGATGGTGCGAGCGGCTCTGTCCCTGGTGATCTGCAGGCCAAGGTAGCGCTGCAGTTCACCTAGGTCAGTGCATTCGTGTCTCTTCTGCAGTTCGGACTTCACGTGAGCCAGAGCTGCCCTATCTGCTGTGGCAAAAACCAAGTCGTCGACGTACACTAGTATAAAGAAAGGAGTGGAACCAGTGCGAACAAACAGCGACGTGTCGGCAGAGGAAGGACAAAACCCAAGGTCACGAAGCGTGGAGCGAAGAGTGTCGTGCCACTCACGGGGCGACTGGCGGAGACCGTAGACTGGCCGTCTCAGGCTCCACTGGGTCCCAGGTGGGAAGGTGTCAGTGAAACCAGGAGGGCGGCGCAGCCAGATCTCCTCGTGTAGTCAGCCCTGGAGAAACGTAGTAGAGAAGTCAAGGGAGTGCAGCTCGTAGTCTCGCTGTGCTGCTACGTGCAGTAACATCCGAAGAGTAGTCATCTTCGGGGTCGGGGCGAAGGTCTGGAAGAAGTCAACTCCCTCACTCTGACTGAAACCCCTAGCCACGTAGCGCGCCTTGAACACAGGCGGTGAACCAGGCGGCCGCTTCAACTTGAAGAGCCACATGCCATCGACTACGTTCGCCCTGGGAGGGGGAACTGCGTCGACGTAGGTGCCTGTGGATCTCCAAGACGCTAACTCCGAGGCCATAGCCGCTTTCCACTGTGAGGCCCACGCCCCTGACACTGCCTCGCGGTAAGTACGAGGAGTCAGTATGTCAAGGGCGTCGGGGTCTCCCTCAGGGGATAGCAGCATGGCACAGACAGAGGGAGAAGCAGCAGCCCACTACTCCAGCTCAGACTCTCTGTCCTCTAGGACGTCACAGCCAAGGGCAAACTCACCCCCGACGGACAGAGGACGGGAGGGAGGAGCTGGCACCACACGGGTGGTGTAGTCAAGGCGACTGGCGGCAGCAAACTCAGCGACAGCGGCAGTGAGAGCCGAGACAGACGACGGAGGGAAACGAGAGTCGGTGACAAGAGTGGCGAGGACACGAGAGACAACAGGACAAACATCGCGGTAGTAGTCAGTGACAGGAGTAGGGGGGAAAGGGAGAGAGGACGGAGGAGGAGACGGGAGAACGGACTCAGGAGGAGAACGAGGAAGAGACGAACAAAGGAGGGCAGTGCGGAGGTCGGTAACGGGAGACGAGTGACGAGCACGCGGAGGACAGGGACGGACACGAGAGTGTGGGACACCAGGTGGAGGAGACTGCGGTGGAGGAGAAGACCAGACCGCCGGACTGTCGTCAAGGGGAGGAAACGTGGGACCAAACGGTGGAGGGGACGGAGTGTGAACAGGAGGAGAGGAGGGAAGACCAAGGGCCCGAAGGCCACTCACGGGTGGGAACAACTGCCGCTTTAGAGGGAGCTGCGGTGGGCGCGACTGTGGCGGCGGTGTCTGCTGCTGCGGCGGCTGCTGCTGCTGCTGCTGCTGCTGCTGCTGCTGCTGCTGCTGCTGCTGCTGCTGCTGCTGCCGCTGCTGCTCCAGCAGGTCCAACTGCCGCAACTCCTGCCGCTCCCTCTCCAACAGCACCTGCTCCTCACGCTCACGCCGACGGGCCGCCTGGAGACGTGTGTCGTGGCGGTGGGGAGGCGGAGTGGACTCCGGAGAACCAGTGTCTCCAGCTCCAGTCTCCTCAGAACCAGCACCTCCAGTGCCAGTGCCTCCAGCACCAGCACCCCCAGAACCAGCACCTCCAGGACCAGCACCCCCAGAACCAGCACCTCCTGTGCCAGCACCTCCAGCTCCAGCACCCCCAGAACTAGCACCTCCAGTGCCAAGACCTCCAACTCCAGCACCCCCAGAACTAGCACCTCCAGTGCCAGCACCTCCAGCTCCAGCACCCCCAGAGCTAGCGCCACCTGCGCCAGCACCTCCAGCTCCAGCACCCCCAGGACTAGCACCTCCAGTGCCAGGACCTCCAGCTCCAGCACCCCCAAAGCTAGCGCCACCTGCGCCAGCACCTCCAACTCCAGCACCCCTCGAACGAGCACCCCCAGACCGAGTACCGCCAGTGGCTGCACCTCCATCTCCAACTCCAACCGAGTCCACAGCAACCTGTCGTGGAAGTACCGAAGGCTGCTGAGGGGACTGTGAGGAGGACTGCGGGGAGGGAGACGCTACCTAACGCGCGACCGAGGGTAGAGGGGTAGCATGAGACACACCTGACGGGGCAGGACTAGGGGGGGGTGGGGGTACCGGAGGAGCGGGAGCAGGGGGAAGAGAGGGTGCGAGGAAAAGGGGGGGAGGGGGAACCGGGAGACCTCGACAGGGGTACCGGGTGTAGTAGGACACTGACTCGTCGAACCGGACGTCACGGGAGTCTAGGAACTGGTGGAGGGGCGGGTGGTAAAAGGACCAGTCGGCCGAGGCTACCGGGAAACCAAGGAAGACACAGGGGACGGCGCGAGCCGAGAGCTTGTCCGCAGAGGTGTCGCGGACAAGCGCGAGGCAGCCCCAGACACGAAAATCTGACCCAACACCAGGGGACCCGGTCCAAAGACTGGTCGGTGAAGCCTCTGGCCGCGAGACGCGCGGCTGGAGGTTCAGCTGGTGAGCGGCGTAGCGAACCGCGTAGGGCCACAGAAAATGGGGCGCACGTGCATGAATCATGGACGTGCGGGCGATGTCCATGACCAAGCCAATGCGGCGCTCAGCAACCCCATTCTGCTGTGGGGACTCCGGCAGCGTCCAGGACTGTACGATGCCCTGCTCGCCGCAGTATCCGGCAAGAATGCCTGAGCGAAACTCACCCCCACGGTCAGAGTGGAGACAGGAGAGACGATGGCCACGAGTGCCCTCAGTGGCTAGAAGCCACCGGATCAGCGTAGAAGTCACCTCGGACTTCTTCGCGAGAGGAAACACCGTGGTGTACCTGGAGAAGTCGTCGACGACCACCAGAAAGTAGCACTCCCTCTCAGGTCCCTGCGTAGGTGCAGGGCCCTAGACATCCAAGTGGAGTGTCTGGAAGGGAGCATGGCCGGACGAAGGGAGGAGGAGTGCGGAGTGGCACGAAGACGGCCGGCGACGCAAGGAGTGCACGGCGGCGCAGGCGAGGGAGGGAGCGACGGGAAGACGCGAGGGAGACCTGAAACAAGACGGTG